GTTTTATATTCCAAGGGGCAAGGCCAGAGGGAATCTGCGTCAAAACTAGGAATAAAAGCTCAATAACCCAAATTAGAGATTTAGCCCCATCCCGAGTCTGCAGATCTGAAACTTGGGAGATGTTTTATCCCTGTGCATGTGGACTTCTCTGAGGGTGAGTGGTTTTCCTAGCGCAGTCAGTGCCCAGGCCACTGTCCTTGCTGCTTCTTACCTGCACTTGGCCAAAAGCCTCCTCCAAAGTGATGATTTTATGGTTCTTGTGGGAGCCAGCAACACAGCACAGGACACAGATGCAGACCGAGTCCCTCTTGCAGTAGCACTCCAGCAGTTTGCCGTGCTGGGGGCATCTCCTCTCAGCCAAAGCCTGAGGATCACAGGGCTCCACCAGGACATGGTCTTTCAGGGGGCTTTTTGTGCTGTGCTTCCTCAGGTGGGCTTGACACAGGGAGGCTTCGCAAGTCAGGCAGGTCTTTTTGGCTGGCTGGGGCTCCTGAAGGCAGAAATCACACAGGATCACCTCATCTTGCCAGCTAGAACTTTCCCCCTTCTCTTCGCTTTGCACTTCATGCTCTTGATGAGTGGGAGCATCCAAAAACTTCTGCATGATGCTGCGGAGCTGGACGTTGGGCTGCAGGGCCGTGGCAGGGTCTGCCTGGGCACAGCAGAGCGGGCAGCTGGCAGGGCCCTCTGGGCTGTGCCAGTGTCTGAGCACCTCCTGGATGCACTCCTTGCAGAAGCTGTGGCTGCAGCTCAGGGACACGGGGTCTCTGTAAATGCCCAGGCAGATGGGACAGGTCAGCTCTTCCTCCAAGCTAGCCACAGCACGCAGCTCAGACATGGTGCCTAACGCAGGGCCGAGTGCCAGCGGGAGGGCCCTGCCGGAAAGAGGAACAGAAAGCAACGGTGACCAGGCCAGGAATCTCTCTCTCTCTCTAGGCAGGAAGGAGCCGCCTTCTTTCACTTTGCAAGGGAAGGCCAACCCTCTCTTCCGCTTAGGAAAGGAGAGGCAGCAACCTTGGCGCTGCTGCGCCGAGCTGCTACCTCCCGAGAGCCCCGTACCAGCACCTCACCCATCACACCCGCTGCTGGGGCCCATTTGCTGCTGTTGTCCGGGGCATCAGAGTCCAGCCACCACCGAGTGCCACTGTGTGCCACAGGCAGCAAGACCCTGCAGACATAAGGAGCTGGAAATGCTCCCTCAGAGTCAGCATGGTGGTGAGGTTTTGGGGGAGCAAGGTTAGTGCTAGAAAAGCCAGTAGGGAGAGAATGTGTCCTTCTTACCTGCAGGAGACTGCTGAGAGGCACAAGGTCCAAGCCTGAGTTTGAAAAGCTATTTGGAGGCAGAGATAATGTATGAAAAATAAAACAAATCTAGCCAAGGACTGAGGGGGAGAGAAAGAGGGAACAGAGACTGCAAACCCCAAAACCAGCAGCACCTGAAAAAGGGTCTCCACCGGCATTTAAAGACACAGCAGGTGTGGGAGGCAGGAGCTGCAGGTGTTTTGGGAGGAAGAGATGCAGAGCCTAGGAGGAAGTGAGAAGGCAAGTAGGAGCAGTTCTTTGTGGGTGTGTGGACAGGGAGGGTAGTACAGCAGGACTGGTGGGCAGAGAGCTCCCAAGAAACTGAACCTGTTCCTGTTCTTGCAAAGACACCTGGGGTACAAGCTGTCACTGACAAATGCTGAGAGTGGCAATTGCATACATTACTTGAAGTACAGTCTCCAGAGCCCCCTGCACAGACCCTGCATGGCCCAGAACCTGAGTCCTGTTGTCAGGGAGCTCCTGCATCCAGGGCAGGATTTGGTGCTGGATTCCACTGCTGAGGGCATAGGTGGGAGCTGAGACTCCAAAGGGCAGCCCAGGATAGCTCTCCAGGCAGTGAAATAAATCCCAAACAGCAGGTGTTAACATGCCAATTTGGAGCGTGAGTCTGGTATGGCATTTCCAAGCATTGCTCTGCCATGCCCCTGCCTCCTCTGCTTACCCACAGGCCCTTCTGTGGACCCTTGCCTGTGTTGCCAGGGGGATCCCACTGAGCTGGCGGACTCTGGGACAGCTGTGGTCTCAGCCGGGCAGATGCAGACACTGCCATGCTGCCCCTGTAGCCCCCTGCAGGCCTGCTGCCCAGGCTGCCTGCCAGGCTGCCTGCCAAGGTAGACAACGATATTATCCCTATTCACAAAAGCCCAGTTATTGACTTATTTTCTCCTCCCACAAGCGCAGGAGTTAATGCTGCCTCCCTTCCCTCCTGTAGCCAAACAACAGCCATATAAGCTACGACAAAAGTGGCACCTGGCTCTGCAAAAAGAAGTCAGTTTATCACAAAGTGAGCCCAAAATGAAGAACTGTCACGCTGATTTTTTTTTCCAAATGAATGGAAGTAATTGCTGAAATTATCAGAGCATCTGAACTGATGTCACGATTCATCAGCTACTCTCTTCTGTCTCTAGGTCTGCTTGCAGGATAATACTCAATAAATAAGTACTAGTCCTCTATTCTTCAGGAAGCTGCTTGGGAATGCGGCCATCAGGCAGCATAGGTCAGGCTGGGAGGACAAACCTCAGCTGTGGGTCTGTCCCTCCCTGCAGACCCTTCTTTCTTGTGCCCCTGCTCCATCCCAGAGCCCTGCCAGCTGGGGATGCTGCTCCCATCGCTTGTACCCACCTTGGGCACCCTGACACTGGCTGGCCCC